CAAAGGGGAGCGCCGAGGACGCCAGTGTAATGCTTTGTTTATGTGACCACATGACGTTTGGCAGTAACTTTATAATTTGTCTGGCTCTTATACACGTGGGCTGGCCTTCGGGCCATGCTCAGGCCCATTTGCCCTGTCGCCGGTATAAGAAGCCAGCGAGTGCAGCTGGATACATGTATTATGAACGCGACAGGGCAAATGGGTCTGAGCATGGCCTGAAGGCCAGTCCACGTGTACAATGGATAGAAAAATCCTATAGTGAACGCCAAACGTCATATGGTCACATAAACAAAGCATTACACCCTGATACTTCCTTTTACTCAAACTTTGGCCTATCTTGAACCCGAGTCCACTCATTACGCTCAAGATGGCGATCAAAGTGATTACAGCATCCTGGCACTTCGCATCGGGTAAAAGGGGCAGTGAGTAAGGCGCAATGCTTATAGTTAAGGAGGAAAATGGAAGATTGTGTTTCGACTTGTCCGTATGGCCATCCCATGAGTGCAGGAGCAAGACCAACAGCCATGCAGGTACTCAAATAAATAAAGCATTCTTGGGACCGCCACTCATTCAGGAAATCGGATGAACAAGTTATTACACTTGTTTGGTTCTGAAACCAGCATTAGGTATTACGATGCAAGACTTTTGAGCCAAACAAAAGTTTTCAGCCCATATGATCGTCTCATTGTCCTTATCTGAAGACTGGATTTGGGCGAATAGCATTACATAAACCCCCTCCCAATTGGATGTCCAGGCGCTCAATACCATGAACTGGTGATTTCCTCTTTTTTATCCAAACCATTTATCACTGGCCACTCAGAAGACGATTGGCCTTGTATGGGTTACAAACTGAGTATTGTGTGGAGATTTAGAAACCACCTTCTGAGGCTACAAAGAGTCATCCAAAAGCCTCTCGAGTACGGCGTTGAATTGAAATTCCCGCCTCCTACTTGCTAAACAATTGATACAAGTCATGCTTATTACACCATTCTCTTTAGCAGTTACACCATAACCGGTGCTAAATACGTCCATAAGGAAGGAAGCATTTGACGTTAACTCCACTGATCCCACTTTTCACGTTCTCATTCATAAATAGAATTTCGTCCGGCTTGAGGACGAATTTAAAGATGAGTGATACTACTGACTATCCTCCGTTTTCACGGCTTGACGCCAATGTACTAAGCGTGTTTGCTAAAGTAGGTATACAATTGAACACAGTTCCGCCTGGAGCAAATTTCGCGCAATCTTGCCTAACCGAAATCGCAATCAAGGTATGATAGACTTTGGTCCGCGACAGCTGCAGTTGTAGTTTATACTAGGGTGTCTAAGTTACCCCGGGGGGAATGTTCGACAACTAAATTCGGGGCGTCGGTCACGCGCGAGACAACTCTGAGTAGTCTTTCCGAGTGGTAATGCATGGGTAGTTGGTTTTCAATCGGCTTGTTTGGTTACTTGGTGGAGTGAATTCGATGCAGAGGCTCATTACGTTAGGAACTCAATATCACGCCCCTTATCTAATTAATTTTCTGCATTCTTATGCTATATATGGATTTCAATAAACCTCATAAAGCCAAGCCCTGAAGTTTGAGAGCAATTGGTAGACCACTAACACCGCTAGGTCAGTTACAGTTTTAGTAAGATAAAGCTGGGAGTGGGTTATTCGGCTGGGAAATAACTGGGTTAAAGTTGAATAGTTGCTTTGTTAATGTGGTAGGACAACAGAGATTGCACTCCCACTAAAGATCCAACCATTACTGCTTCACCTCGTTGAGGCAAAGATCAAACTTTGTGTAACATTTCTCGCATTCCTCTTTTGATAATCTAATGAACCTTCGAATTTCGGCCCTGTTTCATGTTACAAAGGGTCTAACATTATGTCTTGTTTAATTATCTCTTCCTACTTCTCTATATCTCACTCCTCTATGGATATTTGAACTAAAAAAATTACCCAAATGTTCACCGATTGCTATTGTAGCGGACTGGTAGACCAATTTTGACATTTATTGATCATAAAAGAGAAAGTGAATATGGTGTAAAAAAACTTAATTCAACAGTACTTGAAGTCAAGTTTTTCGCGTGCCTACTCATAAAGTGGTATTGCCATAACTGCAAGAGCTTCCTCCTAGACAACAACGTCAGGGATGCCACGCCATTCGATGTTTGAAGCAGACGGCTCCGTGTCCCGAGTCGCCGACTCACTCATGGATATGCCATTTAGGAGAAGCTGCAATGCACGCGAAATGCTCTTCATCTCAAAATCTCCATTCGTCGTCCGCTCGCTCTGCGAAAACTTACCTTTTTTGTTGGGCTGTCCCCCTTTTGCAGTGCCTCGAGTTGGTTAATGTAACAGGTCCCAGTGTACCCAAGCAGATCTGTGAGTAAAGGCAACAGGTCATCAAAGGCAAGCTACAGGTCACCTCCAATGCGCTATCAGTTGTTAGTTTCCAAAGCTGTCACGTTACACTGAAAAATCAGCACTTGCCATGATGTCCGACTGTTCTGCTTGAGTCTGCTCCACACTGCTGGTCGTCAAGTGGATTGAAAGGATAAGATGAGTCGGGATAGTTGCTTCCTGCAGGTAGTCTCTCCAGTGTGCTTCGATAGTGACGCGAGTGGTAGTTCAACATCCCGTTAGCAGTTAGTCCTCTATGTAATGCATCACTAAAGCTCTGCCTGCGCCTCAGACGACTTCGTGAACGGCCGAAGAACTTAGATCCAGATTGGTGGCTTTGACCAAAGGCGATTTTGGACACCTTTGGTACAGAAGATATCGAGTGGTGATTAAGCGTTCGCTGAACAAAAAGGACACCACTTAGAACCAACCATGCGATGCATTAACAGACGAAGATGAACCAGAGCTCAAGCAAGCTCAAAAGGAGGTGCAGCGTAATGAACAATTTATTTCGATGGGATGCTGACGGTGGGAAGTTGGTGAGCGCCAAGTACAACTAATGCATACGCATCAATGCTGTGCAGCGTGCAAGAGGACTTCGACAACGTCAATGGAGGAGGATAAAATAAAAGAAAGCAAGAAATGATAAAGTAATTATGTTTTCCATTAAAATAGTGACAAAAATAATATTGCTTGTGCCTTGTACTTGGGAGGAGGGAGAAAATAAGGATTAACCCACCACTGGAACCGGAGATGTGTGACTTTCACCACCTGCTAGAGTGCGATGAATATGAGGATAGTTAGTCTCATTGATGCACGAAGTCGCTGGTACTCCTGACATGTAGACCGACTTGCAGACTGGATCGCTAAACTCAAGTCCATGATCACCGTGGGGTACATATCCATAGACAGAGTTCACTTGGGCAGTCTCGCCAATTTTTGAGGGGTCGGACACATAGAAATGCTCCCCAATCATGTGCCTGTGATGCAGATCTCGACAGTAGTGACCACCTGAAAACATAGTGTAGCCTCGAAATAAGCTACCAACCATTATTGGAACGGTCTGCTGTACTTTAGTGACAGCATCATTTGTACTACTGAGGAATATTAAGTAAACATAAGCGACTTTAATCGAAGAACATCGTCCACATGCTAATGCTCTGTTAAAGAGTAGGTTCCCCATGTTAGAAGCGAGATCAGATACAAAACGGGATCATGCACTGTCTAAACCTACCATGTTCTGGTCCACCTCGGTACTGCTTCTCCAGTGGTAGAATATGTGATTTTGTGGCGGAAAAATCTGGGGTCTGACTACCTCGTGAGTGCCTCTTCCGAATAAGGTATGTGATTACAACGATATTTATAAGAATAACCATTCCTCCAATTACACAAGCAGCAACGATGATAAATATAGAATTGGGTTTTGAGTATCCAACGGCCTTTATGCTGTGGTAGCCACCAAATCCATCATGGTTCTCCAGAACTAAAACCAAGGAATAGACAATATCGTAAAGAAAAGTCTGAAATAGCCTAAAATATAGACTGGCTAGTCATTCACCGATCTCAAAATGGCGTACACACCACCATAACCTACATTACATATTTCAGCAATGCATGAAGTCCTACCCGAGCTAGTCTTCCCAAAAATTGACTTCGTGTACTCCGTTTGTCCGTGAAAATGGTTGCGCGAACTGACAGCAATTTCATATTGCGTATCCGGCTTCAGACCTGCGAAGAATGTGCTATTGCAGCAACTTTACTTATTAATTATTTGCGCCAAAGGAAAAACAAACTTGCCGTTTATTGTAAACACTACATCGCTTTTTTCTCCGATTTCGGTAACGTCAGCATATCTGTACTGATCATCAGGATGATCAGATTTCCAGCGAACCTGTCATAGTATGGGAAACTAATAATCATCATTGTGTAGGTAGATAAAAAACGTCTATTCGAGGTCCTCTAAATAAATGCAGTCCCCAATGACTGGGTGTTAAGAGAATATCATCAAAAGCATAAACGATAACGAATGTCACGCATGGAGCTTTCATCGATTTGGAGTTTATTTTATTTATTAGAACATGCAATTTGGCGTTTACGGTGAAGGTTTGCTTGTAACCACCGTTGAATCCTTGTCCCCAGGCCACCTGAAGACTCAAGGCGGTTGCATTTAACAAGCGCAGATCATAGGGGATCTCTGGCGGACCGGTTCCGGTTACCTGTATTGCAAACCGATCTTCGTCTCCGCTTGCTGTCACCGCCTGAATTAATGATGATTTGCGCTAGTCAGATGTATCGGTTGTAAACTGACAATTAATTTCATTATACGATCTAAAGAGCCTAAATTAATAAGCAGTAAAGACGTGCCTTTAATTAAAATAAGGAGAATAACCTTATGACGGATTGCCTTTATGATCCATTTCGTTTTACTCACTTGTTAGTTTAAATCGTATTAAGTGGCGTCTCTGCCCTCAAACAAACTTCCTCATGTTTTAACACTATTGCCTTTGCTTTCAATGCACTAGCGAATTTATTCAACCATAAAATCAATGTCTTTATTTGAAGGATCTCTGATGCCGGAAAAGTGTAAACTGAATGTTTACCCACCCTACAAATCTCATGTCTGGAGTTGTCACGGTGTGATCTATGGCATAAGGGCATTTTAGTAGCAAAATTCAAGGCCATTGTGTTGTTTTGCGAGGATTTAGAGAGAGTAGGCATTCATATTTTATCAGAGAGCTGGCTATCTTTCCCAGAATCGCTCGCAATTCATCGCGTTAAATACAATAAGATTGGGAGTTAAATCCCAAAGCAGGATACATTACTGCAAGATCTCACAAGTGCCCATCCGTAGCTAAAAGTAGTTAGTGTTTTATGGTTTTGCTTTAGAAAAAGGAAAAACTTAAAAGTCTCGTTTCGAGTGATCAAAAAACCGGATATCATAGGTCAGGACTTTCTTTAAAGTACTTTGGGTTCTATTCTTCAGCATTATTATTTCTTCTATGTTTCTCCGTCTTTAGAACGCCATTGCAGCCTGCTTTAAACCGTAATCGAAAAATTTATTTCTACACTGAGCACGCCTTCAACGGAGAAAACTGTCTCTCAGCCAAAATATTGCTTATTTCTGTGACTTAATACACGACTCCCTTTCAGGGTTGGCAACGCTGTCGGTAAACTCCAATGGGTTATGACTAGCCAGGGTTAGTTGTATGTCGTCGTCAAACAGGACAAAATACTTTCTATCTCGCCTCCAAACCTTCGAACGCGAATGCTCGCCAAGCCCGTCTGCTTTGGGGACAGACATGACAGAAAACGCAGATGAGAAAAAGTCATTTAAATCGAAATCACTGCTTTGATTAATGGGCACTAAGAAACAGAGTTGGATATTCGAATTTTTTTTGAAATGAATGCTTAAGAGAACGTCAAACTTTCTACCCGAAATTCTGCCATCAGTAGAACGGAAAGCCTAAACACCAACAACGAAAATAACTATTCCAACATCCCACCTCACCTTACAGGTGTATTGGCCAAAATCTGATACATGTACGGCACTGATGTGGAGTTTAGCAGCATAATAACCAGGACGGATCTGCGTAAGAGTTTGAAAGAACTTAGGCCTGGCCGGTTTGATACACGGTACACCCAACTCGGCTACAAAGGCGCCACATTGGGTGTCGAGTACGCGGGCCACGGTAGTGCGCCCCTCCTGGTCGCGACGATTTAGGAGCCAGGTTACGCGCGGCATTGGTTCCACCCGAACAAAGCACTGTAGCACTGCGCCGGTCCCGAATGGGGCCGCTACTTTTGCAAACTTTGGCTGTCGAACGATTTCGGGGGCAACTGAAAGGAAGAAAATTGTGATACAGCTGTACACTGCCACACTGTTTCCGAAATGAGAGTCCTGTTGGTATAGATGATAGCTTTATAAAGGCAAAACGTGGAGATCAGCAGTAACAGATTTAACCTGTGGAGGCTAGATTGCAGGCCTTCCTCATTATGTTGTGAAATTGATAATATCATAAATGTACTTTCACTAATCGGTACTGAGGTGTATTTTCCAAGTTTGACCTTTAAAATATGTCCACTGGTTAGATGTTTTGATCAAGTTTATAAGCTTTTGACAGCAATAACTGTCTCGTGCATTAGCATTTCTCTCAAGCAAACTTCGAAAGCTTCTATTGACGTCATTCGTGCACTCGCTCGGTTTCATGAAGGATGAAACGACTCACTCATTAACGGCAGCACAACAAAGGTCGTCGTTAGATATTTAGGAAATTTCGAACCATCTCGCGGAAGCTTACACTGCCATTGACATGCATTGAGGTAGCTTAAACGACTATTTATCCAGATCGAGAGACACTTTTAAGATTAAAACTCATATGTATTCGGGGTTGAAATGTGATAACGAAAAACGGCGTGACCGAGACTCCAAACTACTTATTATATTTAAGCACCCTATGAATGCCCATAGCTTCGTATCAGAAATCTAGCCTCCTTTATAGATTTTACACTCAACAGTAAAATATAGGCAAAACAACTTTACATGCACTGAAGAGCTTCACTTGAGATTGATGTGATGCGGAAATACCGTTATCCACAGTACAACTGTAGAGGCCAACATCGTCCCTTGTGACATTGTAAACTAGTAGCTGACTACGCATGGTGAATGGATCAACGTCTTCGCATTGCACCATATGCTTGATGACTCCATTTATGCGCGTTACCTAGAAAGAAATATATCAGTAAATATAAAGCATAACATCTACAGAATTAAGCTGTTGCTGTGCCACAGAACGGGGAACAGCAAATATAAGGAACAAGAGATAAACTTTATAACTAGGACCGACTCTTTGTACCGAATTCATAACACAGAGGGAATAAATTTACATCGTTGCAACCGAGGGAGGTAGTTTCAATTGCAGGCGCCTCGTTAGCTTCCTTATCCCATTTGGGAAATAGCAGACGATGCCAGGAGAAAGAATTGATAGCAGAATTGGGATTACCTCTGGCCATGCACACCAAAACGGCCATCTCACCCATGCTCACGTTGGCGTCGACAACACCGACGACCTTTGCAGGGTCTACGGAAAACAAGAGTAGCAAAATAAACGAAACTTCCCCCTAAAAAGAACTCCTAATACTAAAAGAAATAATCTTTCAAGTTTTAAAAATTCGGTTTTCGAGTCGACACTATAGTTTTAAAGCTCTAGTCCATCTTAATGTTTCCTTTTAACGTTTGATCGTGCGGCTTGACGTTTTTAGACAGGAACTTGTATTGACCCCAGAATTGCTCGGAAATAGCTTGCAGATAACCTTCTAATCTGTAAGTGATTGAATGACTTTAATTACAGCAATGCACTAATTTCTAAAGCTGTTCGTATCGCTTCAAGACACGTTTCGCAGTACTGTCCGACTTTCAAATTAGCAGTTAGCACTAAAAAGCTAGGTAAGTCTGTTTGGTAGCTAAGTAGTATTTCACGCTGAATGCCTAAGTTAATGCAAGTTTAAAGTGACTGAGTTACGGAGATAAAAGGCTTAAGAGTAGTCAATCGAAAAACGAAATGTGCTACTTATTTCTAAATAAGTAACATATTTGAGAAACAAATAACTCTGTTATGATTTGCTCATTTATTTGGGCATAAATTTCCTGCAATGCACCCAACGTACATGTGACATCCAAGAAGAAGGTCTCCTCAGTAGTTCCAAGACTATTTTCGGCTTTGATGGTCACATTAGTTGTTTGGTTGCGCTTGATATTCCAGATTACTAGTAGTTCATCCAGTTGATAAAGGCCAGTCAGTTTTGAAAGTGCCTTTTTAACCGATCTCTTAGAAAAATCAGCCGTTCGGGGATCAATTGGACTCTTTTTCAAGACCTTTCCCCTTACCAGCCAGGCAATGTTACTGCATCTTGGGTTGCCATATGGAATCAAATCCAGCGTTCCTGAACTACCTACATAGGAGCAAAAAATTCCCTTGACGTATCCTGGCCCGTCTGCCTACAACTACTAATTTTCGCGATATACCTGCCTACAATTACCATTTTAATTTGAACACTGGGGAGTAGATACCTTCGACAATGCTGTGGGAATCTCCCGGTTGAAAGCCAATGAAGTGGGGCCGAAAGCAGACGTTAAGCTGAATTTGATTTTGCTTTGTGAAGTGATTGTAAACGCTGTTGGAGGCGAGACAGGCCACAATGTCTAAGTGATCCCTCCACTCAGGTCGGAGGAGTAATCTACTTCGAGAAATGAAACCACCATGGCTCCCTTCGGTCGTTGGGTCTTCAATGCCTGTGACATTGCAAGAAAATTGTCTGTCAGACATTCGAATCTACTCGCTAATTAATTATAGCTGCTAACTGTTAAAATGTGTCCATTGAATAGCGCGTGGGGATGAGAGTTGCTGCACCAAAAGGTACAAAACCTCCCCATTTGATATAAAACCGCATTGTAAGTGTCCTAAAACGCCGGAATGACAGGCATTCTTATAAGTATTTGGACGACACTTAGGTCTATCTATCCCAAAAGGGTCAAGTGACGTACGTATCAGCGCAGTGTGAGAAAATGGAATAAGCAGCTTTAGACTACAGAAAGTCGACGTATTCTGTGTGCGAGAGTAGTTTACAACTTTTGATCTTTCGGCACGTTAATTTTGAAGATAATCACTGCAACTAGGGCCATAATGGTGTGAAACACATCAATGCACCTGACGAAACCGAAACAACCATCAAAGCATTGACGGTGAATTGAAGCAGACCATTCTAGGATGAGTCAGCTACACCAACAAGGCTTTTCAATTACTTGTTAAAGGTTGAGTGCATGAAAACCGAGTAAGGAATTACATAAACAAAAACAACTGTCATTTGGGTGGCTTGACAGTTAAAGAATGAAAAAAATTAGCGAAATTACAAACCAATGCGTTCATCCATCTCGCAGTCTTGAGGCATTATAGTTTGGGCAGAAGATGCCTCAATCGAAGGTTTGGCGACTTGATTGAGAGAGGTGAGCAGAATTTTAGAGTGATCGGCTCTCTGCATGTATTTTTTGATACGACTGCAATGGTAATATCGCCAATGCAGATGAGCCGGTGGATTGGCAGACCCGGCCTCGCAAGTGACTTCTACCTCCTGGTCAGCCAGAAGGTCACCATGATGAAGAATGCTCACGGTGACCTTAGAAGGCGGAAATTGGACATTTAGAATAAAGGGTCGGCTCTTCAACTCCCCCAGCTGGGCCTGACTTTTGGCTTGGCATCTGTAAACAGTCCCAAAATTAAAGGCATGTAAATGCTCACATTCGTAGTTTTCCAATGTAGCAAGCAATCCGAAACCAAATCCAACGATCGCCATCAGCCAGATGTAGATACTTATGGTTGGTTGGACGCTGCATGAGCAAAGCGTATTTAATATCTGCTGAGATTAGAACAACTTCGAACTCAAGGCAGCACAAAAAATAAGTTAGAGTCAATTATTTAAGTCTGCGAAAGCCGTCTTACCT